TAACAGCCATCGGCTTCGCATATGTCGGGGTTATACCAAACCATTTCATTATTGCTTTTATCATTTTATTCGTCATTACATTACTCTTTGGCTTAACATTGATTGAGTTTTCGGCCATTTATTCAAATTTTTTCCAAAGAGAATTGGTTTCAGAAATTCTTTATAAATTAAGAATTTATTTTGAAAATTTATTTATTTTTGTTTTATTTTTTAGACTTCAACTCAAATCATTAGTATTTTAGGACTGTTTCTATTAGTACCAATGCCTTTAGTGGTTTATGTAGAGTTACCACAAGTAGTCAATTATCTTTTGCTACTCATCTCTCCCGCGACATTTACATTTGTCATCAAATCAGTAATCATTTAATTTATATTTTCAGATAAAATGTAGTAATATTTTTAAATTTTTTATAGATTTTGTTCATAACTTATATAAACGATTCCGAATTGAGTTTAAACACACTATTCATGGGACCGAACATATCGTTAGGAGTGGCTATTATGGCACTAATAGTGGACAATATATTGTACATACTTTTGGCCCTATATTTAGAGAAAGTGATGCCCGAGCAGTTTGGCACAAAAATGAGTTTATGTTTTTGTTTGGATCTCAACTATTGGTTTTCCCAAAAACCTAAACCACTCCAGAAGACTAATTCACTGGAAACGTGTGCAGACGTTGAAGAAGTTTCAGAAGAGTTTAAAGACAAGTCTGTGATTCAAATCAGGAACCTATCGAAGAAGTTCCCAAAGGAAAAGACATTTGCGGTGAACAATGTGTCAATGAATATATACGAGTCACAGGTAACAGCACTACTCGGACATAACGGCGCCGGAAAAACGACATTAATAAATATGATGATCGGTGCCATCGCTCCCATGAGTGGATCCATTCACATATATGGCAACGAAGTGACAAACCCTTCGCAGTTGTATAAAGTGAGGTCAATGTTTGGTGTCTGTCTTCAGGAGAACACTCTGTTTGATGAACTCAATAGTGAAGAACACCTGAAATTCTTCGGCGAAATGAAAGGCTTACAAAACGAGAGACTCACTCAAGAAGTGCAACAATTTCTGCTTCACATGGATTTGTACGCCAACCGATTCACTCACGCAAAGGACTTAAGCGGCGGTCAGAAACGAAAACTCTGTATCGCAATGGCATTGATTGGTATAGACTCACTCAAGAAGTGCAACAATTTCTGCTTCACATGGATTTGTACGCCAACCGATTCACTCACGCAAAGGACTTAAGCGGCGGTCAGAAACGAAAACTCTGTATCGCAATGGCATTGATTGGTAACCCAAAAGTGATTATATTGGATGAGCCGACCAGTGGTGTCGATGTGGCCATCAGACGTCAAATATGGACAATCATTCAGACCTTCAAAGTGAACAAAACCATTATAATGACCACTCATTTCATGGAAGAGGCGGACATTCTCTGCGATCGCAAAGCGATTCTTACGAAAGGAAAGCTTCGATGTGTCGGGAGTTCACTGTTTCTTAAGAAGAAGTTTGGTGNCAAAACCATTATAATGACCACTCATTTCATGGAAGAGGCGGACATTCTCTGCGATCGCAAAGCGATTCTTACGAAAGGAAAGCTTCGATGTGTCGGGAGTTCACTGTTTCTTAAGAAGAAGTTTGGTGCCGGATATAATCTAACCGTTGACACACAAAAAGACACCAACATAGAGGACATCACATCTCTGGTCACCTCTGAGATCCCGACCGCACGGGTCGATCGAAGCGCTGGAACCGAAGTCTTCTATATTCTGCCGCTAAATGAGAGCCAAAAGTTTCCCCAATTATTCTCAACGCTAGAGAACTCTCAAAGTAATATCAAATCATTTGGTGTTTCGATGACTACTCTCGAGGAAGTCTTTCTCAAACTCGAGGACGAAGCTGAAGCAGATACAGACAAAAGTCATACAATCGTTGTGTCAGATAAAGACAAGTCAGACATTGATTTTTCGCAAATCAAATATAAGCCCACTTTCTGGCGTTCATTTTGCGCCTACCTTTACATCAAGTATTTACTTACATTTAGGAATCCGTGGCAACTGGTGATCATCAATATATGTGTCTTTATTATATTAATTGTCGTATTTATTTCCCAAAAAACATTACTTCATACACAAGAATCCGTGTCAATACCCATTACACCTAATATTTATGACTCAAAACAATCTGTTCTCAGATATCAAAACAATGCCAATAAAAGTATCGCAGAATTTACAAGAATTGTATTGCAGTTTGGAGTCAATCCGGAAAAGATTAAAGACGTCAAACTTAAGTCACTGGACAACAGTTATATGACTGTAGTTATCAATAGTTTTCAAAAAGATTACTTTGAATGGCAATGGATTTTCAACGAAACACATATCTATTCGCTGCCTATTCTCCAGAATCTGATGGCAAACACTTATTTTCGATTAGTTAATGAACAGAATAAACGGGTTATACATACGTTTAATGAGCCCCTCCTGTTAACTGAAACTGAGGAGAAATTTGATGTGACCAAGATTATTCTAATGCTTTATATTTTTCTCTATATATTTGTCATCTGCTTAAGTATTAGTATTACGTTTG